AGTGAAATTCACCCGGTAAATCTGCATCGCTCTGATCATCTGGTCGCGATATAAAAAAAAAGAAGCCTTTCAAGCGCCTCGATGCTCGAAGCGAAAAAATCTATTGACCGGGAGAAATCGACCGAAGTTCCGGCGTTTCAGCTAATTTCAGCGGACGAAAGTGTGTTGTTCCGTGCCGCGCATCGAACCTCCTGCGAGCACGGTGAATTCTCCAGGAACACGTCGAAGTTCGATTTACCTGTCGGACGCGCTGCTAACTTAATAGTAATTAAACGTTCGCCTAAGTGATCTAGCTTGCATTATCGCGGAAATTTTCCGTGAAATTTGGTAAAAGTACGTAGTTGACGTTGGCCTTTAAATTTCACGTTCTTGTCCTTTTAGATTTTCGAGAAATTTCAATGGAACATTTGAGATTATTCTAATTAACCGTTCAGTCCGATTATATTTTAATGCAAAGTAATATTTCTACGATTGTTTCGTTTTATTTCGAATATGAATCCGTCGGAATTGCAAATTACGATGAAATGGACTGAAATTTCAGCAAGTAACCGGTGCAGGTTTGTCAGGAATAACATCAGTTTATGTCTTCTGTGTTCAAGTTACTTCGTAGCTCCTTACTCTTTCTCACTTTCTTCTACGAGCTTTCTCTCTCTCTCTGTTCGGCAGTTTCTCCCTTTCTCCCTTCTAAATCAACGCTTACGAAAGTTTCAAACGAGAACCAGGCTGGAATCGGCGTTCTTATTATTACCATAAAACCGCGTCCCGTTATATTTCATCGGAGCGGCTCGCCAGGCAGGAGTAATCGAGTTCTTTCGTTGAGCATGACGTCTCGTAACAATGCCGCCCAGTCCTTACTAGATCGAGGTAATTCCGTGTCTTATCGCGTGCCGCTTTTTTCCTCACACCGCCGAAAGAAATATATCCCTTTGTATCAGCTGGCGGCGGGAAGTTTCTCGTTCTTTGTTTCTTAAGCTGAGCGCCGTTTCAATTCGAGTTATTCGCATGTGAAGTTCTGTGGAGGAAATTGGAACCATCGAAAGTTTGAATTCAGCCAATGATATTCGTGTTATGCGAATTTGAAATTTAGCCGATGATATTCAAAATACTGAAAGCTTGAATTCAGCCAACGTCATTAAGCGATTTCGTTGCCTCTGGCTTCCGATCAGTGGCGTGCTGTATTATACTCTGTTTGGCCAAAGCGACACGTTTCCATCGATACGTCGTTCAACGTGGACATTTCAATGGTCCTTTCTACTCTAAACACAGTGGCCAATTATCATTGTATCTTGCCTGTCGGTGAATTGTTTTCTCCTGAAATTGATAACGCGATAACTTCTTCCGGGGCTGTCTGAATTCGAGCTTCACGATGATAGAGGAATGAAGGAGCCTTGAAAACAGTGAAAATTAAAGTCTTGAGAAATACGTGGCTTTAAAAATGGAACTCTTGAGGAATCCGTGGCTTTAAAAATTACACCCTTCAGGTATCCCTAGCTTGAAAAGTTGAACTCTTCAGGTATCCACGGCTGCAAAAATCAAATTCTCGAGCGATCCATGGCCTCAAAAATTGAATTCTCTTTCGTTCCCAAATTTCATAATTTGCCCAAGCAAGGACGAACCTAAATTCGGATGAACCGCAGTTCTTCATTAACGAAAACGAATTGAACAACAGGAGGGTTGTGTTTCCTTTAACGGTGGGCATAGATACACATTAGTTTGCTATTTTACATTGTTCAGGAGGGAACCGTCGTCCCAGGCAAGTATGTCAACCGGCGTTTCATAGGAAGAACAATGGTCGCGGCAGGCGCAGTGTAAAGTGACGATATAACAGCTCGCGGGGAACAAAAGCGATGCAGGCATACTTGTTTAAAACGCTTATGTCGATGTCTCAATTGTACCCGTTCTCTCTCTCTCTCTCTCTCCCTTCCTATTTTCCTTCCTCCTCGACCCTCTCTTTCCATCTTTTACCGGTCTCTATTGCATTTTCCTCTGGCCCGTTGCAAAGTTGATATTTGCATTCTCGCGACGACTACACCGAGATTACTCGTTTCTGTTCCAATTTCTGGCATCGCGTAAACTATTCGAGCAGATAAACCGTACCTCCGCTCGTCCTCCGCTCTGTGTCACGGAAACGCAGGGGTGGCGTTTTCAATTCAATTCGAACGCATTTTCGTGCGTTGCGCGTGTTATTGAAAAACTTTTCTCGTCCCATTTTTCCGATTAAATCGTCGCTAATTTTCGAAATCCGCCGACAAAGCTCGTTAATTCCTCTTTTATTCGACATTTTTCAATATCACATTCGCTAAAAACGTGTATCGAATGGAATTTCTAACGGATACCTGAAAGACCGTTGCAGAATATTTGAACAGTTTCAAGGGGTCTAATTTATACCGGAAAATTTCACTCGATTTTGAGGGGAAAAAAGATATTTTAAATTCAACAATGCGGAGAATTTAGAGAATTCGACGATCGCGACGATTACATTTTCCCATCGGAACGCGACGTTCGAATCATTACAGAGGAGATTCGCTCGAATTCCGAAAAAATTTGTAACGGAAACACATAGGCTGGGAAATCGCGAAAAGTTTACTCGTTACTTTTTCAACGTGCGGCCGCGGACTAGTTACTGGCAGCAATTTTGCAGAAAAAAGGAAAAATGAGATTTCGTCGCCGCGGAATGGCGAGCGATTTTTTCCCCCTTCCTTTTTTTTTTTTTAATTTTTTTCGTTCATACGACGAATCGTCGAGAGACCGAAGCGGTGACCGCGAAACGAATATTGCTAGATAATGGGCTTTTAAACCGTACGCAAAACCGAAAATATGAGAAACGTGTTCGTTAAAGCGACTGTAAAAAAAGTTTCTATAGCGCAGCCCTCGGTGTGCCTTTGTTCGATTATATTTCCATCGTGGAGAAATTACCATCGTCCCGCGACTATTCTCCGCTTCAATTAACGCACGAAAGAACGACGATCTTAGACGCCGTAAATATCCCCCGATCCGGTGGAATTGAAACGAAAGAAATTGGAGTACGTCTGGAGACTCTCGCGACGGAGAAAATAGAAGAAATTCCCGCGCAATCACGAGGGAAGGTATTTGAGCTTGAAATTTCGGCGTAGAAATCCCAACGAAATTTCATCCCGGAACAATCTCTCTTCTTTAACCGTGCATTTTAATCATGTTCGCGTGCACGGGAGAAAATTATGAGCGGTGAATTAACTCGAAGAATGTTCCAGCCGAAAACCTACGGAACCGCGACCTAACCGTTTCTATTTCTTCCAATTAACAACCGAGGAAACAGTTCTCGTACGAACTCCGAGAGAAAGATTTCTCCCGGTTCACGGAAAAAGCGCGGAAACTTGGAAGTCTCGTGACGTGGAAAAATAGAGAGAACTAGGCCAAAAACGTTGGAACGAGGGAACTAGGTGATAAAAGGCGGCTGACCCTGATGATGGTCGGAAATAATTTCGAAGCATGCCTCGAGCTAAGAAATTTCCATTGTTACGAGACAGCCGAGGGAGATTCAGACCGTTCGACATCGTATCGGCCGACGATTTTCACTTTTCACCGAACGTCCTCCCCGACTTACAGACTCGTACGAACCAGAGCATGCCTCGATTTTTATCATACAGCTCGATCGAGAACGCGTACACCAGCGGAGTTGCTTCTCCGTGGCAAACTTTCGTCTCAGCGTTCTCCGTGTCTAACGACACGTAAAGCGAGATGCCAGCGTTCCAGAAACATTTTCCTCCGGGTAATTATCGATCGATTTAAGACGTTGCACCATGTTAGACTCTCGAGAAAGGAGACGTTAGTCCTTCTTATCTCAGGAACATCAGCTGTGAGTAGAAAACTTCGTCGTTCGTCTGGATCGTTAGATTAATTGTAGCGAGAAGGAGAATTCTGGTCCGTTAGGTTCGGCAACCCTTTCTTACGAGCCGCGGAAATAAAGTTTGAGCGAAAGAGGGGTAATCTTGTTCCGGGAATTTTCGCGAAACGAATTCGTAGGTTTAACTGGTTTCGTCGGGAATCATCGGGTTATCAGCGTAAGTACTTCTCGAAATTGTCTATTTTTCTCTGGTGTGCGCATCTGGCGCACACGTAGCGTGTGCAAGCTCTAGCGAAGCGGGGACATCGCACACGCTCTTAACTCGGCCAACTAGTCCACAATCCCGTAATCCTTGCTTGAAGTTTAGCGTTCTCGTGGTGACGTGCCAATCGCTATTGAGAAGCAGGACGGAACTCCGGGTCTTCTGTGCCCTAATTAGGATTTCGAGTTTTCCCGCCCGTAAGCAGCTAGATTAGCCGCAGCGAACGCTGCTGAATATCGAGAAAAAAGCACGCACCTACGTTCTACAACCGAATGAAAACGCAACGAATGAATTCTTTAGCAAAGATAACGTGCATTAAAATTTTGGATAAAAATTCGCGATAAGAAGAGGGAAGAAATGTCTGCACGTGGAAACTTTACCTTTGGAAGTTGCACTTTGAAACTGAATCTTTTGAATATATACGCGGGGGAACTTAATCTTTCGAGAGTACGCACTGAAACGCGATCTTTTTACCGGCGGCCGTAATTATTCTTCGCCCGCGGTAATAAAAAGAAAGGACAAATTTGAATGGTTTCGTCAAAGGGAGAGAGTCTGCTGAGCTGTGCGTTTGACGTTGTTACAACGTGGAAGATTGGATTCATTGGATGCACGCCGCGAGGGAGGCAGGTCTGGCGATATTAATCGAATAGATCAAACATTGCGCGCGGTAACATTATTTTGCGGTGATATCGATTTTCGTATCACGTCAACTCTGTTTTTCGTCCGACTGTTTTGTGCTCGTTCTCGCCCACCGTCACGATTTTCGTTTACACGTTTCATAAAAGGAAAATTGGAACGCGTACTTTCTCTCTCTCTTCTTCCGGAGTATTCCAAGGCTTTGAGAATTTTCTTTAATACAGGGGTTTTTATTGCGAGATATCGTTGATAAACTTATGTACACTTTCACAGGCTCCCGGGGTCTTACTTAACCGGCCGAACTTCTCGGATCTACTTCTTGCCCGGTCTTTTGAGCGAAGCTTTTTGGTATCCGAAGCTCTTTACCGACAAACTTAAAGAAGATATTCGAATGTAATTAATTCGTAGAAAAGCCTGAGATCGGAAATCTGTCGTGGGAAGGTGGGGGGTGGCAAGTTCGCCAATCGAAGTCTAATACAGTTGAGGAAATATTCTCAATTGTTATAATGGCTGGAAAGTTTCTGAAGCGTCAGCGACTCTTCTTTCAGATGGAGCAAAAGGACGGGGAAATAGATAGACGGAGAATGTAATTGAACTCATAATTGTGTTGACAAATCGAGCAATTTTCTTTTTTCTTTCTTTTTCTTCGATCGATTGTAATTTCTCAAAAATTAACCACATTGTACTTATCAATTTTTCTATCTTTCTGTTTCAGGTGAGTGACATATCAATGGCCATTTTGTCGCTTTCTCGGAATTTCTTATCGTACGTAAGTGTGACAATTTGTTCTGCGTTCGATTTTTTCCCCAGCGAAATCGACGACAGAGGAAAACGTATTTTTCCTGTCTTTTATATTTCTGTCGTGTCGTTAAATAGTCAAACGTTCGCCTGCATAAACGATCGAACGAGAAAGACCATAACCGCGTATTCGAATTTGAATACATGTCACCGTTTGTACGTATGTATAAACTTCACACTATTGTTATCATATCTGTGCTTTTAAATATGGTAATCGTGAATGTCGTATATCATTTGAATAAGGTGATTTGCCGCGAACTTTGACTATGCTACCTCTGATAAGGCTTCTTGTTTCACGTGTTACTTACGTTCATTGAAAATCTACGCGGTAACTTTTCTCGATTTTTCGTAATAAATATCCGCAATGGATCACGATGGTCCTATGAATTATACTAGAACGAGTAAATCACGGTTAATTGTACTTTTCTCGTGTGATCCATAAATTCTTCTAAAAGGAAAACAATATACTCTTCTTCGAGGTATTTACAGTTCATTTTATCGTGGAAATATTCGTAATGGAAAACGTACTATAAATATCACTTGCAAAACGTCTACGAACATCGAGCCAGGTTTAACTCATCTTTTGCGCGGGTTTCTTGTAGTTCTTCTTGTAGAAATTGTAGAAGAGGAAGAAGTTTATCATTATAACGATTATCGACGCGAGGCCTGGTAGTTTCGGCACCGGACACGACGGTAGAAGTGATTGCCCGTTGTGCAATATTAAGATAACGAATTGTACCTGCGAAAGAAAAATAGGAAAAATCAAATTGGCAAATTTAAACAATGGAGAAATCTGATCTTTCAACGAAAGTAAATTCTTCGTTACTCACCATCTGTATTATGGTTATCATCCGTTTATACGGAAGCATCGCTTTCTGTACGTTTGGACCGAACGTGCTTAAGAAGTAATACGTATACATGATCACATGTACGGAACAGTTGACCAACAAGTTGAAAGACGCCATCGCGACAGGAATGTATTTCGTGATGAGCCAGGCTAACAAGATCGTGGATACGTGATGATATAGATGCAAAAACGAAATTTGTTTGTTCTTTTTCCTCAGCACGAACACCCCTGTTTCGATCAGATCGATCAGTTTCACCATGGTCGCGAACCATATAGTGTGCGCCAGCTGGAAAGAACAAAGACGAAAGAAGGAAAAATCGATCATACGGGTGAAATCGAGAAACATTTCAGAAATATATTCTTCGACCGAATTGTCAATGTACCCTTAGCGGACCAGGCGTGTACGAGTAATCGGGTATCTCGCAGAAGGGCGATATCTCGGTGAACCAACCGGCACAGATCGCGTTGTACACTATGAAGATATTAACGAGGACTTGAAAGACGTTGTAGAATTGGGTGAAGGTTTTCAAGTTGTACGGCTTTCGATTCTTCATGAAATCAGGCCCACATTTCAGAACGAAGTATAAATACGAGAATAGGATGAGAGGGATGAGAATCGGTGATCCAATGAATGGCAGAACGTTCGTTCTTGGATCTAGAAACGAGAAGTTTTTACAGAAATTCAGTTTATCCGTCTTTGGTGTCGTGATCTTTCTTCACTCACCAGCCTTCTGATTCCAATAGTAATCGTAATTCTCCACGAACCCCATTGTTTCTTTATTTCTTTCTGTACACTTTCTCTGTCTTCTTCTTTTTTTGTTTCACTTAAAACACGTAGTGCTCGTTGGTTTCTTTTGTTCTTTCTGGATTCTTCAATTTAATTCATGCGAACCACTGTTCCGTTAGAAGCACATTGGACAGCACTGGCCATTCCCACGTCGACTGTTTTATATAAAAGCGTGGTGGAATTGGACCTCATTGACGTGTAATCTTAAATGCCGACCGATCGTCACGATGAAAACGTATTTATAATGGCGAACGGTCTGCGCACGTCGGAGATCTATGCCGCATTGTAAGTACATACATGTATGTACATATACGTACGTTCATTAATTTAAAACACGAAAGGTCTTGGAGGAGCCATCCGGGATCACAAGGTCGACGTTTGAAGTATCGGTTCACGTAACGCGCTCAGAGGAATTAATATATTCGGCGAATTTGATTTCCATGAACAATTACCAAACAATTCGAGTTTCCACAAAGAGCTTTTCCTTCTTTATAAATACCAACCTTGAACCTGCCGCATATAAACAACGTTCAAACGTCTCCGTGTCTTTTTTTTATGCGCACTAATTTCGCCGCGGTAACGCGCATTGTTACACACACTGTCGATACAATTTCGTCGGTACACAGGCTACATCGCTAGACATAAATAAACTAGAAAATTCTCACGAATTTATGAATCTCGATGCGCAACATATACCGAGACAATTACGTAAGAAGGCGGACTTTAGGAAACGTTAACTCATCAATATTCACGGATGTCTTTACTGTTGATAAATTTAGTTTTGGTCAATTCTCACATTCTGACGAAGAACTTCAACAATTGAATATTCATCGTGTTGTTCTTTTGGGGCAAACATCCACCTCGCGTATTCGAATTTTACATTTATAATTTTCCCAAGAAAGAACGAAAAAGCGGCCGGAATTACTGGGTTAAATTCGACAGAAACCCTTCTGAAAATTCGAAGAGTAGAACATTTCAGAAGAAGTAATCGAGGAATTAGCGTGTGCTTGAGTCCAGGAAGCTCTCCGATGAATACGTTAAGTATCGCTGACCGAGATAGCTGAGTTGTAGGAAGCTGTCAGACGGGAATCGATATCGTTTCGAGCCCTCGACGTTCCCCTGATTCCTCTTAAAATCGAAGAAACCCTCGAAGGGTAATGAAAAAAGTTCGCCTTAGCTACGTTTTATCTGGAATTAACACAGACGAGAGTTATCCTCTACACTCGCGGTCTCTCCTCTCTAATCCCGAAAATTCGAAACATTTTCCAAACGAAGATTCTCCATCCTTCCAGTTGTCTCGAACTTCATAAAGGCCACCGGAAATCGTTCTCACGCGCTTCCGTGTCACTTGGCAAGAGGGTGCACGCGCTCGAAAGCAAACACGCGAATTCCTCGAGCCTCCGCTTGAATCTTCAGGCAGCCAAAGCTAATATTGAAGCCTGATCTTGGATTCGACGCGAGGCTGCTGCAGCCGTCTCTCCTCTCTTCCTTTGATCTTTTCAACTTGAAATTTCCAATATTCGATTCCGGAGCATTGTCGCAACGATCACCTCTAGCCTAAGAGTCCCCGTCTCTGCAGTCTCCAGTTCGTCCAAGGATAGGACAGGTACAAAAAAGTTGAAGAGTGGACCGCGAGCAAAGCCCGTGAAATAGTAATCGAGGCAGTCGCGATGGCCAAGCTGGTGTTTCGAGCCCATGAAGTTGGCACAGGGATGTATTAAGCATCGCTAATCGAGGTAGCTTAGTCGACGGGGAAGCCTGGCAGGAGTAAAGTGGTAACTCGGCTGACTATGGCGGGTTGGTAAAGGGGGATGAGAGAGGGGCGGTGAGCATTAGCTGGCCCCAGAGCCTCCCGCTAAGTGCTGCAATTTATTTTATTACCCCGGAGCGCGTCTACGTTTGGGGAAAGCTGCTTCGGTGGGCAAGCCCGCCTCTATTCGCGGCGAAAACACACCGGTAGGATCGCGGAAACGTAATTTACAGGGAGTTTGCGGAGCTTGTACACGGGGAGGTTTGATCGGGCCTGTACAAGGGAACGGGTATCGATGGTACGAAAACAGAGGGTAGTTTCGTTTCACTGTTGTTGACACTTCGTTTCTGTCCAATCGTTTCACCATCACTCCATCCCGCTAGTCTGCGAGAAGTCTGATCGGATTTTCCTTTCGATTGTCTTTTGATTTACGGCGTAGCAGTGGTGAACGTATATACTAGATGGAGAACGCAAAAGTGGACGTATGTGTGTGTGGGGGGGTTGCGTACACTCGTGTAAATCATCGAGGAAAAATGAGCATGAAAATAGAGTGGATCGAGCGTGTTGGAACGTGGAACCACGTGGAAACGGGGTCATCCACGGTGAATCGAGCGAGCCCCGGCGCGTTTTCGCGACGATGATTATTGGCCGAGTTTAGTGAACCCCGAACAAATCCCGTTTCCGGCGCACACGATCGAACCACGTCTCTCGCGACCGTTTCGAATACGTTACCGCGTGAAATCCTCCACGATTTTTCTTCTCTCCTCTTCCGTACTTGTAACAGCAGAATTTTCTCCCTTCCAGAAAATTAATTCAGAGGTTGCATCCCTCCACGCAATCACGTTACGCGGAAATTGAAAAAGAAGAATAGTTTCAATCTCCCGATGTGTGTGTTTTTTTTTTGTTATATACGTAAAAATACACGGTTATCCGGTGTGCTTTTTTCCTGGTGCGTTCGACCCCGTGTGTAACAATGAAAGAGGAATAAAATAGGGATATCAAATATTGAACGTCGATTGTTACGGTTGTTGTTCGGGCGAGATTACTGCCGTTTCAACGAGTACCACGGGGGAAAACGCGTATTTCCGTTTGTTCGTTTAGGAGAGAGTTTAAAGCGGATACGGTGGTAGAATAGCGGAAAAGAAGAGGATAGGCAAGGTGCTTGAAGGAAAAGGTGAAATTCCAGCATGTGGAGCAATTCGTTGTAGGATTTCCGCGTTGCTCGGCCACACATGAAATAATTCGGTACGGTTAATATGGTATAAATCCGGCGTACAGCGGCCGCCGCTTTTCCGCTCGCCAGAAGTCGGCTTAAACGCGACTAAACGCGGTCGAATACGCCGTTTAAACGTGGACGCAGTTTGTTCGCCAGTTAAACGTATCGAGAAGCTTTAGAGAATAATTCGAAGCCCGCGTATTTGCTGCCGATAATTCGCAGCTGATACCATTTGCGGAGTTTGGTTCGCGCGCCGAGGAAATCTTTCTCTTGTCACGTGTGCGGTGCTATGAACTTTTGGATTTTCCCGTTTGGCGTTCTGTCTGCCGATATTTCGGTTCGGAGTTTCGCGAAAGCAACGCGTGATCCTTTTAACTTCGATTAATTTCGTTTATTCGAAGGTGTTTCTGTATCTTAATTTAATACGGTGTATCGTAGGAGTGATGGGATTTTTAATTTCAATTCTGGAAGCGTGAAAGAAAAGTGTTCGGATCGAGTGACATGACTGAGTGTCTCCTAAAAATGTCTGCATAGAACGCCCAAAAAAGAAATAGACAAATAAAAAGACAAAGAATTTAGGAATGCAAGGCTAAAAAATGTGAAAAAGGCTCACGTGGATCAGTTGCAATAAAAAAATTAGCACTCCGCATTATCATCGTAACACCACTTCATAATTTTCCCGCATATTTTCGCGATCGTGGTACAAGTATCTGAAAGCAACACTCCATTCTGTTTGCACTTGGCGAAAAAAGAAGAGAAGAGGTAACACAACGATGATCACGAACAGCTCGCGAAACTCGATGGAAAATTAGACTGTGTAAATTCTCCGGTGCTCTTATTATTATTATCTTGTTTTCTCTCTCTCGTGCCGCCCTACCGACACACAAAGGGATCCCAGCTATTTCCGGTATTCTCCGGCGAAGCGATTGCACGGGAGTGGAGCAGGGGGGTGAAATTAAAGGCTGCTTTCTCGCTGGCATTTAATATCAGGGCCGTTTCGTTATGTTCCAATACACCGCTCGTAGGCAGACAGTATCGGTAGGGAACGCGGGACGATTGTAAAAACAGCTGACGCGGAACACGGCGTCGATTTAAATGTAATGCGACGCGGGAGTCAATAGAAATGAAAATAGCGGTTGCTGCAAGGGAACGTTGGGAGAAAGGAGGGATGGGTGATCTTTGCGTTCGTTTCCAAACGGCCTGGAAGCTTCGACGAAACGACAACGCCAGAAAATGGAAAATTATCATAACGATTACCGATACTTGTCCCTCCTCGATCGACAGACACTCCTCGATTTTATGCGAATACAAATTGCAATAACTCGCGGTACTCCGATCGATGGGCAATGTACAAAGAATAAGCTTGGGAATTGAGAAAACAACGCTTCGTTACGAAGCATTGGAAATTGTGCAAACGTAGAAAAATAGAATTTTCGGTGTATGTTTAATCCGTTATGCAGAAAGAAAAAGGGAGCAGCGGGTGAATAAATCTTCCGGTCGATCTGAAATCGGGCAGAATCGGTTAGCAGATGGAAAAGGGACGGGTTTCTCATGCCCAATTGATTCCGAAAACGATTTCACCAAAAACGTTTCGAACCGCTGGTAATCCCAGGGCTTCGCTTGCCGAAGGTAACGAACAAGTGGAACAAACGGTTCCAGCCTGAAAAGCCTCGCGGAGTCAGAGGAATTTTTTAATTTACCACCATTTTCACCCTCGCTACCCTATTTTTTTCTCCTCTCTATCCCCCGTTCTTCCCCCCACCGTTCCGTGACCGAGCGAAATATCCACAATTCCGCGAAGGTAATGCTCGGTTTCTTAATTAAGTAATTGAAAGGTAGCGTGACGTCGCGTGGGCAAACCTATCAATTACACGCTCGATTTGTCCGAGGGGTTTGTATCAGAATGTCAGTTCCACTGTCCTAGATACAAACGGGGAACTGTGGGAAGCTGTGTAACACAGAAGTCAAATACACATGTACGTCGAGTAGAAACTCTGTGACGATGGAATGGGCGAAAAGTATAAACAAGAGATGGGGGTTAAAAATATGCAAATAGAGATAGAAAGTTGGAATAATTGCAATAGGGGTAGAACATTCAGTGGAACGAACGAGCAGGCATAGGTGAGCAAGGGACGGTGGAGAATGGAGTGTGGAAAAAGTCTGGGGTAATAAATAGCAACGGGTTGGGTATCGGGGAAAAAATCGGCACCTGGGGGCAAGAATACCGAAACAAGGGAAACGTGATAGGAAGGATACACAGAAAATGGTGGAACAAAAGAACGTA